AAAAAAAAAAAAAAACCAAACCCATTGCTGTCGAGTCGATCCCGACTCATAGCGACCCTACAGGACAGAGAAGAACCGCCTCATAGGGTTTCCAAGGAGCACCTGGTGGATTCGAACTGCCAACTTTTGGTTAGCAGCTGAGCTCTTAACCACTGTACCACCAGCACAGGTAACTCAAAATTTAACGCCAGGAGTTCTTGTTTTAAAAGCCTTTCCCTAAACATCTCAAGCCAAAAGCGCTTCTTAGGACAAGTGGGTATGCTATTTAGATAACTGAATACTAATGCTGATTCCCCACTGAATTCCACTAAGATATGAAGAAACAGATACGCAGATAAGTCACTTTCTGGCGGCCTCCCAAGGGAATCTTGCTACGGTTGCTGAGAAAGGGGGACTGTCTTTCCAGGGACAGAAGAGGGGGAGCTGCCCTGTGCCGCCCTTCCGCGCTCAGCTTGGGGCATGAGCCTGGGTGGGCGCCTCCTGTCTGCACAGCTGCACAGCCAGCACCAATGGGTGAGCCCAAGGGCACCCGCGGAGGGTGCAGGCGCTGGCAGCTCCCGGGGGACCCAGATCAAGGAACGCCTGCTGAAAAGACTCTCCCCTCCTCTCCTCCCTAAGTTATGAGGAAGCACACATCCAGGAAGGGTATAAAAGAGAGAACCCACTGCTTCAACCCAAACCCTCCTGCATCATCCCAGAGCCTCCTGGTCTGGGTACACAAGCTCAAAATATTTCTGCTTTGGGTGCTGCTCAGCTGTGCATTTCTGCAAGCGGAAGTGATTCTAATGATGGCTCAGCCTTAACTTGCTTCTTACACTAGGCCTGTGCTGTGCACGGTAGCCACCAGCCTTGGGCACTTGACATTGGCGTCAGCGAATTGAGATGTGCTCTCACCTAAAGGCTGGCGGTTTGAACCCACCCAGCGGCACTGCTGAAGAAAGGCCTGGCAATCCGCTTCCATTAAGATTACAGCCAAGAAAACCCTATGGGGCAGTTCTGCTCTGTAACACATGAGGTCACCACGTGTCAGAATCGACTTGATGGCCACGGGTTTGGTTTTTTGGTTCTAGGTATAAAATACATACTGGATTTCAAACATTTAGCAGGAAAAAAGTAAAATATCTCAATAATAATTTCTAAATTTACTGCACGCTTATACAATATCTTGAATATAGTAGGTTAGAGGAAATTTATTGAAATTAATTTTACCTGTTTAACTACTTTTAACATGGCTATTAGAAAATAAAACATGACGTATGTGGCTTGCAATTAGATGGTGCTGTAACAGACCAAAAACTTGATTTAAAACCAAAAAACCAGACCCATTGCCATTGAGTCAATTCCTACTCATAGCAACCCTATAGGGAGAGCAGAACTGCCCCACAGGGTTTCCAAGGAAGGCTAGTGGATTTGAACTGCTGACTTTTTGGTTAGCAGCCGTAGCTCTTAACCACTGTGCCACCAGGGCTCTGAAAAGTTATTTGGGGACCCTAAAATGTGCTTGTTTGGCCAGGTAAGTTATATAGTAATAAAAAGTACTACCAGAGTGTTAAACAAAAAGTTAGTGACTAAAACTCATTTTCAAATAACCAGGGTTAGCACCGATGATGGAATTCCTGAGTGCTGCAAAGAGTCAGCACGCTAATCAGAAGTTTGGAGGTTAAGTCCACCCAGAGGTGCCTCACAAGAAAGGCCAGGCAATCTACTTCTGAAAAATCGGCCCTTGAGAACCCTATGGAGCACAGTTCTACTCTGACCTACATGGAACCACCATGAGTCAGAGTCAACTGGATGGCAACTGGTCTAGCATGGGTGATAGCAACTTTTACCTCCAGGGGCATCCCTCACCCTCCCTGCTCCATGGCTATGGAATTGAAGGCCCATAACAGAGTTTTATGGGGGTACCCCTAACCTGCCCCCCCCGACTGGGTGCTCCCACTTATAACAACCAAAAACTTCTAGGAGTTAAAATACTCTGCAATTTATATAACTTACTGGAAGTAGCAATTAGCATATTCTCATGTAACGATTTAAATTCGAGTGTGTGGTTTCTTATTTTCTCTTTATGATCAACATTATAGCTAAACCAGACCTCCCAACAACCCTGCCACCCAATACTCTGATACACATGGGGCTGCCATTAGTTGGAATCGACTGGACTGACGGCAACCGGTTTTGCTGGGTTGTGGATACTGGACGAACACACACACCCACACACCTAAAATGGCAGTGTGGGAGGCAAGAGGCATTGGAAAGGCCGTAAAGTCCTCGGCCCTGCAGGTAATTATCACACAGCCAAGAAAGAAGAGAGAACACCTTGATAAGCATACTACGGGTGGGTAGGGGAGGGGTTGTTCTGGGATCCAAAGTGGCCACGCTGGAGCAGAATCTCCACTTGGTCAATTCTGCCATGTGCATTTCTCAAGAATCAATATTCACTGCTAAGGATCGCCAGCACTGACAGACGCCTACTCACTCACCCCTCAGCACCATCTCCCTGAATCTCCCTAACATCCAGGCCGAAGCTGGTATGCCATCTTGCAGGGAGGCACGGGAGGCCCAGATGTCGAGTAACTTGTCCTGGATCACACACCTACCACAGGGCTCCTAAGGGGCAGAGTAGGGACCAAATCCCAGTTGCATGTGGTCCTAATCCACCGTGCCAGGCGTGTGCCCTTCTGCCACATCACTATAGGGCAGAGATAGCATACAAATGTTATTATAGTAGGCCCTTCTCACTACTCTTTATGATGAGAAATCCTTGTTCACTTAGAGCTGTCTGTCATGTACCTGGATGAATTAAGTCATGCTACCTGTTGATTACATAAACAAGCCTCAAACAGACAGCCAAGACAACAGACATCTTGGGTTTGTCCAGTATCCAGAACCCAGCAAAACCAGTTACCGTCGAGTCGATTTCAACTCATGGCAACCCCATGTGTGTCAGAGTAGAACTGTGCTCCATAGGGTTTTCAATGGTTAGTTTTTCAAAAGTAAATCACCAGGCAGGCCTGCCTTTGCTGGGTGGACTCGAACGACCAACCTTTTGGTTAGCAGACTGCCGGTTTTATTTAACATGTTCCAGCTTCACAGAGACTGACAGAGAAATGCTGTGGACCACCACGGAAGAGCTCTGCCTGGCTTTTGTGTACAAATACCAGGAGAAAAGGCAGCCTACCGTCCCCACATAGAGAGCTATAATTACTAGCTACAGAATAGAATTCTTTTGTTGCCCAGCTCTTAATGAGTTTTGTAAAAACCATGTAGAATCAAAGAGCTGGACTAAATGGTTTCAGGCAGACACATCACTAATCAAATTTAAGCTCACTTATTTTACTTAACACAGCTTGTTAAAGGGACAGGCACGCCAAGTTTCTGATCACTGCTTTTGAACCAAAAAAAAGGGGGGAAATGGCAGAATGGAATGGCTGAGAGTGGGAAAATTTGAAAACAAGGAGAACATGCCCGATATCTTTATTAGAACAAGTAATCAGTTACGTAAGATTAGAAACCAGGGTTTGTATTTGGGTAAATCTGAAAAAAACAAAACAAATCTGCAACACAGTTTTTGAAGGTTAGTTTTTTGCTTTCTCGCTTTGAAAGTTATCAGTTCAAAGATGAATGACTAATCCCAGGAATAAGTGTTTGAATATAGTTCCCTGCGGGATACGCAGCGCTAACATTTACTGTACTGTGGTATTACTCAGAATTTTAATAACCTTAACTTAGAGATTTATATAGGTGATTGCTGGTGGTGTGGGCAGGCAGAGAACACACATCACTGCCATTGTACGGAACACATGTAATCTCTTGCTGGTGAGATAAAATAAATTACTCCTATCTCCCAAAGGGCCTGCTCACTTATTTACTTTCTAAATAAGGAGCACAACTGCTATTATAGTCTACCCTGAAATTTAGAACAGACTAACATAAAAAGCCTCATGTACTTAAAAAAAAAAAAAACCCAAAGCCCCCAAACACACATACACGCTCTTACTCCTTCATTCAAAATACTTCAAGAACAAGAAAATAAAGGTAGCCTGCGCCTCCAGGTCCCCATTCCCTCACCGACGTCGGCCGAGGGCCCCCCGAATCCAGAGGTTTTCCGGCACCCGCAAGGGTCTAGCCCAAGCGGAAGGACGAGAGGGCGCCACCGGTTCACCCTCCTGGGGCCTCCCTCGCCCGCCGCCCCGGCTGGGCCCTGGACTTGGCCGAGCAGGTGGGGACCCTGCGCTCCGGCACGTTTTCGGGGTGCCGTAGCTTTTCAGCTTTACGCAGCGCGAGCCCCCGATTCCGGCAGCCTCCCAGTCGGGCCCGGCGCCTCTCCCCACAATGGGGCGCCCAAGAAAATCTCCCTCAAACCCGGGGCGCGCTTGGGCCGAGCGGCCCGTGGACAGCGCACGGGGGCTACTCGGACACCCTCCTGCGTTCCCAACACCCTTGGGGAATTCAGGTCCCCTGAGCACCCACAGGACGAGAGCCCACGGCAAAGAACAACCCTACCGGGCCCGGGCTGCCTTTTAGAAAACAAAGCCAAAGCAAAGTGAAACGAGCCCCGCGCCCCGCCCGGGAGGCCGCCCGGAGACCCGGCGGTACCGCCCGAGTGCGCGAGGCCCGGGCCGGCACGTCTCGGGGCCCCAGGCGACCCCGCCCGGGGACCTCGGCACGGACCCTGCCTCCGGGCCGCGGCTGCTCCGCCACCCCCAAGGCCACTCGGTACCCGGAAAACAAGCCTGTGAGCGAACTCGGACGCGCGTCCCTAGGATTCTAGGACCGCCGCCTCCACCCTGACCCCCTGGTTCACCCCGACCTCGGTGTCACCCGCGTCCCCCGTCCCATTTCTGGGTCACCCCTACCAGGGAGTGGAGCCGGGCGCTGGAGGGGGTTCTCCGCGGACGCCTGGCCCGCGCCCTCCAGGCTCTGCGGCGCTGTGGGGGCTCCAAGAGGGACCCCGCTCTTACCCCTGCCGGCAGGCCAGCGCGGACGGAGGCGACGGTCGATCGGGGAGCTCCCGGCGAAGGCGAGTGGTGGGGCGCGGGGGCGGTGGGCGGGCGCGGGCGCTCCGGGGGCCGGGGGCACGGGCGGTGAGCCAGACTCTCGGGCTGGGGCGCACAGCTTTCGGCGCCGCGGCAGGAGGAAATAACCCGCCGGTTCCTTTCGCGGCGCAGCTCTTCAGGAGCCCAGGGAGGAGGGACTAGAGAGGGGAGGAGAAAGACCGGAGGCGGGGAGGCGGAGGGGAGGGAACGGGGGAGGGGACGAGAGGAGGAAGGAGGCTGGAGACAGGGGAGGAGACGAGAGGGAGGGGGAGGAGAGGAGAGACGCAAAGGAGGGACAGGGAGAAAGGCGAACGGAAGGAAGAGGTGGAAGGGAGAGCGGAGTGGAGAGGAAGAGAAGGGAGAAGAGGAGGGGAAAGCTGGAAAGCAGGGGGATGGAGGAGGGGAGGGGAGGAGAGGACGAGCCAGCTCCTTCCGGCGGGGACCCCTCTCCCTCGCCCGCTGTCACCTGGCTCTGTCCCAGGGCCTCAGGATGTGTGCCGGGAGAGTCTTTCCGGGAAGAATCAGTTTCCTCCCCTGATCCCTGTGGCCTTCACACCGAACCTGCCATTTGAATTCAGCAGAGTGTCGAGAGCTGGTGGCACTGCGTGGTCGCCGCGCTTGGCTGATAAGATCTCCCCGGGCGGTGACTTCTACACTTGAGCTGGCCCCATTCTCGGACCTCCTTCTGGATTTCAGATTTCTAGTTATTGTGTCATGCAAAGACTCTAAGTGAGGTTAACAAGTACAGTCTCGACCCTTTGCTGGGCCACCAACTTTACTGTGCAGGACGCATTGCACTACTCAGGACTGTCCCATTTCCACAGCCCCCGTGCGAGTGGCGCCCCCTAGAACTGAGCGGGGCCTTCGTAGTGACCGTCATTGACTGCGCGTTTACTCGGGGCGAAGCACTCTACATGTATTATCTTTTCATCTTCGTCATATTTCTCCAAGGTATTATTGTCCCCACTTTGCACATGAAGGACCTGAACCCTAGTGTAAATAACTTACTGGGTCATAAGCGCGGGTACTTATGGAAAATTCAGGATTGAAACCTGACTTTACCTGACTCCCAAGCCCACGGTCAAAACCATCAGCAATACGTGGGTTTTCCATTTTTATCAGAAGGCGCACAGCCCATGGCTAGAAATGTATGGATTTCCTGTTTAGACTTAGATGGAAAACCAAACCAAACTCACTGCAGTTGAGTTGCTTCTGACTTGTAGTGACCTTACGTTCGGTAAGAGTAAGACTGCCACATAGTGTTTCCAAGGTTGCAATCTTTACTGAAGCAAATCGCTACATCTCTCTCTCCCAGAGGGGCTGGTGGGTTCCAACCGCTTTTTTGACCTTTCTGTTACCAGCCGAGCCGCTTAACCACTGCGCCACCAGAGCGCCTTAGACTTAGATCAGGGTCTCAATCTTTTGGAGAGAAATTTAGATCCCAAAAAGTGTATATGAGATTTAAAAAAAAAAGCCTAGTTTAGGCCAGACCCTAGGACTGACAGTAGCTGCATCATAAAGACAGGGGTGTTGCGGAAGTGAAACCGGTCTAGCTTCTGTTATCCAGAGTTCCTGGTTTCCATGGCAACCCTGGATCTGGGGTTATCCGGGTAATTGAGATACTGTAGCACCTTAGGGCGATTCGCTACCTGAGGGTGTCCCACTATCACCACAGCATGTGTCAGAAGTAGGCCACACTGTGCAGGGGAAATCGGTATTTATCACAGATCAGATTGATTCTGATGGCTTCTCTGTACATTCAGGCACTGATCAGAAAGCTAGATAGGTCAAGAAGGAGTTCCATAAATGGAATACAGATCCATAGTAGGTTACCATGGAGACGTGAAGAGTCTGTTCCTTTTTTTTTTTTTTTCTTAAACCACAGCAGAAAATCCTGACTCATCTGGCTCCCATTTCAGCTAATACAGGGGCTTTTCCCCCCAGGTTACTCATGCAGCCCTGGATGGTGTCTGAGAAGCTTGCTGTCACAGCCAGTTCTGGGAAATTCAGTCCCCTCTGCCTGCTCCCCGCCTGTGTTCAGTGCTGGGGGCTCATGGGCAGGCTCCCTGTTGGTGTTGTTACCGGCCATTGTGTCGGGCCTGACTCCTTGTGGCCTCATGCACAACGGAGCGAAAGAATGTCCTGAACCCTCCCCATGATCCTTTACGAATCAGACTGTCGTGATCTGTAGGGTTTTCATTGGCTGATTTGTGGAAGTAGATCGCCAGACCTTTCTCCCTAAGGAGGACCAGTTGAGGCCCGTTGATTCTTTGTGAAGACATCTTTCCTCCTTCTGAGGCTGGGGGCCGGGAAGAAACTCTTTGCTCACTGAGGAGTTTCCAATATATAGGAGTGGAGAGAGAACGCTCAATAGAAGGAGCACTAGAATTTGCAGAGAACCTTTTCCTAACAGCCAAGCCTTCCTCTGCTCACTAACTCAGGATACCTTGAGCCTCTTATTTAACTCCTCTGAAGATTAGGTTCTTCCTCTGCAGACTAAGGGGAATTATGGAACCTATCTACCACCTGTCAGTTTATTGTATTGTGGTGGGTTGTGTGTTGCTGTAATGCAAGAAGCTATGCTACCTGTATTTCAAATATAAGCAGGGTGACCCATGGTGGACAGGTTTCAGTGGTACTTCCAGACTAAGACTATGAAGAAAGGCTTCGGGGTCTACTTCTGAAAATCAGCCAATGAAAATCTTATGGATCACAACAGAGCATTGTCCCCTCTCTTGCTTTGGACACGCCATCAGGAGGCCATCATGTCTGGTGAAGCGGAGGGCCAGCCAGGGTGAGGGAGACCCTCAGTGAAATGGATCGGCACAGTTGCCTCAACGATGGGCTCAAACGTGCATTGATCATGAGGATGACACAGGGTAGGGCAATATTTCCTTCTGTTGTACATAAGGTTGCCATGAGTCAGTCAACTCAGTGTATGACATCTATCTATCTGTCTGTCTGTCTGTGTATCTGTCTGTGGAATCTATGTCATAAGACCGTGGTGAGCGTTCGACAGAAATCCCAGTGTTCATCAGTGTTGAGTGCCTTTTGAGCTGAGAGACCTCAAATAACAGCTACTAAGTTTCTTTCTTCAAGCTCCCCCCTTGAATCATTTTATGAAAAATACTTTGAAAAAACTGCCATACACACGAAAAAAAGAAACCATCCCTACCATCTCAGATCCCAATGTGAGACACTCTATCAAAAATGATCATGGCCTGGATCACAAAATGGCAGAGCTAAAAGAAGTGCAGAGGCCTGTAGGAGAGAAAACTAGGTCAGTCTGCCTCGGTCACACTGGTAGGGGACACAGAGTCCACACAGGTCTGGTCTCCTGACTCCCACCCAGGCCCCTCTAGTTCCCTGCTTCTCACAAAGCCACCTTGCCCTGGGTCCCACACTATGACTGTTCTACCATCACAGTTGGATGGTTACGTGACCTTAATAAAATGACACATGATAGTTCTGGAATGATATCAGGGTTCCTCAAATATATTTTTTTCTTCTTGTTATTAGTTGGTTTCCTAGTTACTCAGCCTAGTTACTAAACCCCTGCCTGGTTGAAACCAGTGATTATTCATTGACTGTTACGACGTGATGCACAAGGAACACCAGGCTTTACAGTAAATGAAGCCTATTTAAGTACTACAATTGCGCTTTAAGATCAAAAGATGAAGGTGTTAGAAGGAAAAAGTCAGAGGCATACAGGGTGAAATAATCAGATGGGCTTAATATCAAGCTGAGTTTAAAAGTCATCTTAATTCTCTTCCTTTAAGATAGAATAAAGCTCAGAACAGAAAAAAGGAAAGAGATATTATAGTAGCGCCGATGTCTGTATAAATATTAGATTACCTAGAGAGTAATCTTTAGAAACCAGACACTATCATTAAAAATTATTAGCTTATCAAGTCATCCTTTAAAAAAGAAACACGTTTCCTTAGAAACACCTCCGTACTTGCCTTGAAATTCAAATGAACAGAGTCAACACACAACTCCAGGTGGTTTCAGGTTGCAAGTTAAACAGACGTCATTTGGTCTGAAGTGTTTCGTTATTCATTCAGCAAACATAGGCTCAGGGACCAGGAAGATGAAGATGAATGAGTCTTGTTCCTTATCCTTAAAAAAACCAAAATATAGAGAAAGAAATGCACAACTCACATACAAAATTCACATGACAAATGAGACTGGAAATCCTGGGGGCAGGAGGCGGGGGAAGCAAAGAAAGCCCTCAGGGATAGAAATTATTTAATTCATGTATATTCTGGTATCTTTGTTCACTGTTCATTTACCTTGAGTCTCCTGGTAGTATCCAGCTGTAGCATGTATTCCTCTGATATATGTTGATACTGATAAAGGCAAGCTTTATAACCCACCTCCCTCCCTCCACCTCCAAGTATATATATACAATAATTATACTAGCCAACCGGCCCTCCACGCATGCTCATTTGCAAGCTGGCACAGATACAAGGAATCTCAGGCACTTATGGGGTCATCTAGCAGCATGTCATCCTCCCTGCAGGATGGTTGTGTCAAACTACCCGAGAGTTTACCGGTTACCTTCAAGTCGATTCCAACTCATGGCGGCCTCATGTGCGTCAGAGTAGAATTGTGCTCCATAGGGTTTTCAATGGCTGCTTTTTTTCAGAAGTAGATTGCCAGGTCTTTATTCCGAGGCACCTCTGGGTAAACTCGAACCTCCAAACTTTCGGTTAGTAGCTGAGCAAGTTAACCATTTGCATCAACCAGGGACTCCACCAGAAAGTAGGTGGTGTCTTATTCTCTTATTTAAGATTCCTAAGAATAGCAAAAAAATGGTATTTTTCTGGAGGTCAGAAACTTTTACTAATGCCTATTATCATTTCTTCTGCTCGTTGGCATCATATTTGTCTGTTGGATTCCCTGTGGGCATGAGGACATGATAACGAGAGTAGAGTACGTGATCTTGACCTCTGACGGGCAGCTTTGGGGACAAACTGCCTGGGTCAA